TTTTCAGTCATTTAATTGTGTTTTTCAATGGTGTCAGATGTGCGTTGTTTCAGTCATTTGTGTTTTTCAATGGTGTCAGACGTGCGCTGTTTCAGTCATTTGTGTTTTTCAATGGTGTCAGATTGTGCTGTTTCAGTCATTTATGTTTTTCAATGGTGCCAGATGTGCACTGTTTCAGTCATTTGTGTTTTTAATGGTGTAAGATTGTGCTGTTTCAGTCATTTGTGTTTTTTATAATGGTGTCAGATGTGAGTTGTTTCAGACATTTTTGTTTTTCAATGGTGCCAGATGTGCGCCGTTTTAGTCTTTCATATTTTTCAATGGTGTCAGATGTGCGCTGTTTCAGTCAATTATGTTTTTCAGTGGTGCCATTTGTGCACTGTTTTAGAAACCTTTAATTGATCAACCCAGGACTGGCTATGTGACGCAGGCAAAGATAATGATTCTATTTCAACCCCGTGTTAGTTGGAAATTGTATCGATATTGTTGTTATTATTCAAATGATAAAACATGTTAATATTTCTAACAACTTCCACCAATACTACATTTGTATAGGCATGGATGCAGAAAGATTGATGAAGGATGCAGAAAAGGATTGACGAAGGATGCAGAAAAAGATTGACGAAGGATGCAGAAAAAGATTGATGAAGGATGCAGAAAAAGATTGACGAAGGATGCAGAAAAAGATTGACGAAGGATGCAAAAAAAGATTGACGAAGGATGCAGACTGGATTTTTTTCTTTTTTAAACTGTTTTTAATAATTTTTGCATTATTATTTGGTAAAACTTTGTAACAGCAGGAACAGTTATCCTCCTCCTATTATAAATTCAGATTAAACCGTTTTTCGGTTAATTGTGCTTAGAAAAACACATTTTTTTGCATTTAGTATGATTTTCACGCCACAAATGAGTACTTTCAAATTATTATGGAATGGATTCTGTTATATAGATACAATGGATAAGCGTGGATTCTTGAAAAAGAAACCATGAGCCCGGAGGGCGAATGGTTTGTTTTTCATGAATCTACGCTTATCCATTGTATCTATAACTTAAACTATTGTGTTAATTTTTTTCAAAATTAAAGCCTTTTCTTAATTAGAAGGTATTGTAAGTGAGTTTAAATAACCATGTTATCGTGTCCAACGATGCATTGATAAAAAATCTCAGATCACAATTAATTGGTTAACAAAATACAAATATAACACTTCTACCTTTAAAGATCTTTATATTACCAGGCATATGAATATTATCTGTTTATACAAAATAAGACATATTCGAAATTATTTCTAATAAAATTGAAAATGGAAATGGGGAACGTGTCAAAGAGACAACAACCCGACCAAAAAGTATATAATAAGTATGTTATCGAAATTTTTCGAGCACTCTAGGCACATCACGATTTTCTCGAATAGTAATTTGCGAACAAACCTTTGTAAAATTATGAAGTAAAACAGATGAAATCATACTATATTTATAAAACAAAAATTGACAAATAGAATGTAATCATTTTTGTTTCAAACATGTGAAATAGCCAATAATAACCAAAAAAAAAACCGGTAAAACTCGCTATTATTACAAAAATATCCACTATAACATGCAAATTTTGAAAAAAAACAGGATAAATTAATAATTGGAACAACAGAGAGAATACAGGAATTCGAACCTAAACCGACAAATCCCTATCTTTAACTCATTGATTTTAACCATGCTTACCTCGCGGCTACCAACTCATACTATACGACTGCCTATTTTGTCTATATAAAGGTACAAGCCCTGTGTGTCCGATGAACCGATGTGTATCAGATGTTCATTTAAATACATAAAATAGACATCTATAGTGTAACCCATTGGTAGCCGAGAGGTTTCGTCGATGTGTTGATGTCAAGGAAGGGTTCGATTCCCAGTGAAGGCATATACAAATTACAAAAATTAAGGTAAGTTTTTAAATTAATTCCATTAGTGAACAGAAATCAGTAAATTGACCAAATCAAACTTAATGAAATTAGGCACACAAAGGAAACAATTGAATATATTTTGGTGAGTCAATTTGAGCGGCAGATTTAGGAAGCGTTGATTCTAGAAAAAGAATCTACTGTAAATGAATAGGCTGACGTCACCACAATGGTTTAAGTTCTCTGATTCTCTCTTTGTATACTGACCAAAACAAACAATTTTAGAATTCTAATTCTAGATAATTTTGAAAGTTCCAGTGTGATGAAAATAAAATACATCTCGAAAATTCTGCAGCTTTTGATTGTTCCATCGTAATTGAAGTTTTATCAATGAAATAAACATTTTATAAATTTTGTGTGTGCCAGAGTCAATATCTGATGGTCAATCAAATATGATTAGTATAGTAATAGGGGACGACCATTTAATTCAGAGGTTGGCGTCTGGCAAATTTGTTGAGGTCAGAACATTTAATTCAAATTTTAAGGCGGCCAGGTTATCAATCTAATCAAACATAGATCTCAGATTTCGTTATCCTCATATGAGATCTAACACCGATGCGTATATACTTTCACTTCTGAAGGATTTTGCATGTGACTTTTTGTGAAACCTTTTATACATCCATCTCATATCTTATGTATATACGAGCACGCGATCGCGAGTTAATATACATAAGAATTCTAATCAGATTGGCCAGGTTATTTATTTTAATCAGATTGGTCAGGCCCAGGGCCAACTAAAATATTGTTTTTCTGCTCGCCCAAAAAATGTCACACAATCTGCCCACTCAGGATCAAATGATCATCTCCTAAAGTAATTCAACGTTTATGATACAGATCTTCTTTTTGATAGGAAACGCATACTCCTTTAAACATAAATAGCAGTCAAAATGAAGTTTATAATTTTTATTCTATTGAAATGCGAAATTATAATTGCATGAAAATTAGAGGCTAATCCAGGGTCCTAGGAAAGGGGCGTTATTGTTCAAAATGTACAAAAGGGGATTCTTTTACTTTAGGGGTCCCCATACTTTAGAGTTTCTGCTTCTGTCGTTTGGTGGCCGCCATAATTTCTGATTATTCTGCCACTTTCGGTCAAGCTATGGTGTGCGTATACGCTTATTTACAGGGAATTTCTTAAATACCTAACACACAAACGGTGCTGTACAGATCAAAATGTGTGAGTAAAAACAAACGGATTTATGTTAACCAGATAACTGGGCCTTGAATGATTCAAGACTCTTGGCCATAGCAGTATTATAGGGTAGGGCATCCAGTCTCGAATAGTCCTTGGATAGAATTATTCCTTCCGAGCAACTGTGCTGCACGATGGTACTTGCATTGAAGGAACCGCTATGCATACATATTTCGACTAAATCTTGTCAGTGTTATTAGTCTATCAGAGTCATCTATGGTGGACTAGTCCATTTACGATTTTGTACATTAGTACTAATATTGATTTTTTTCTTCGTTCTTCAAGTTGTGTCAATTCTAATTTTTCTAGCATGTCAGTTAAAAAATAGGTGTTCTGGTATCTTTTTCCAACGTATCGCTGAACCATCTCAATCCGATGAATATCCTCATACAGATATGGATCACAAGTTGTACAGGCATATTCCACAATTAGTCTGACTAGTGCTTTATATGCTCTTTCTTTTAGTGTTGGGTTTCTAATATTTTGGTTTCTCTTTAGGAAGCTCATTGTGTTGTTCGCTTTCTTACAGATGCTTGAATGTGTCCACTTCACTTCATATCTGATGATATAAAAACACCTAGATATTTGGCTGCTGTTACATGTTGTAGTTCATGGCCATGGAGTACATACTTGTTTATAGTTGGTTTTCTCCTTCTTGTGATGGTGATTAGCACATTACATTTTTCTGGATGAAACTCATTTTCCAGGTTTGTTCCCATAGTGCCATTTTGTCAAGTTTGTCTTGAAGGTGGGTTCTGTCGACATCTGATTTTATAGTAAGATATGCAATGGTATCATCTGCAAATAATCTTACAGTCGATCTAAAGTTAGGGTTGGTGTTATACATGGGGTTGTTTTAAGTTAGTGTTAGGATTTTTGGGAAACGACTAGGATTAGGGTTAGGGGTAATGAATTCATAAGGGTTTTAGATTTAGAGTAAAAGTTAGTTTAGTATAGTTTCATATGAGACAAGGTATGCATGTAACAGACATCACAACACCAGCATTGGGTCTGAGGTGTTAGACACCATGAATTGACAAACATTACAAGAACGCCAACTAAGAACAAGGAACAAAGACAGCTACAAATTTTATCTTGTCGAACCATTAAAGACTGGAACAAATTATCCGCTGACATAACTAAGAACACCACATCAGAAACCTTCAATTAAGGGTGCACTCACTCACGGTGTGCTCCTTGATACTTATCCACACCTGAAATAAACAGGCAATCATGTTTTTATCTTAAATGTTAAGAAAATCAAAATCAAATATAAAAAAATCAAATGAAAAATGTATAATCTAACAAAGAAAAATTGTAAAAATTGATAATCTAAAAAAAAATCATGGCCAAGCAAAAAGTAAATAATATATCAAACTAAAAATTTTGTTAATCTATATTTTGATAATATTTGATGAATTATAAATTTGGAAGCATTTACCAGGCATGCGCCGGAAAATAAACACCAGTACGTTGATGGTTTTCTGTTTTTGAAGAAAAATTAAGATGATGAGTACAGATACTCCTCAGAATCAAATGGTTCAATTATGTGACTTTTCACAAATAAATGGAAGTGTTTAACGACCTTGACTGGCTATAGAGCCCTTGCACGGTCGGTTGTGACTTTTGACTTTGTCGCATAAACATTAATCGATGGAGCGCGGCCAAATTAATTGTTCAATCAGTATCAATAAATAATAGGAGATAAGTATTTAAAACAGGTAAATAGCAGTAAGTCGTAGTGCGCTGATGTAAGAAGTATTTGTGGTAGTATAGATATATCTTATTTTATTGCATTTAACAACAATCTTTCCAGACCTTTAACCACCTGCCAATACGGCGGCAAGTTTAAAAATTAAAGATGGCGACTTGAAATTGCATGGAAACAAATGCCAACTTGTCCGACGACAACGACTATTTAAGCTATTTGATTAATTACCGTAAATTTCCCCCACTTAGAATTTGTTACCAATTTGTAAGAATATACTTGATTGCCATAGAGATTAGTATAGGAGGACAGAACTTCAATAAAGTAAGAAATTGTTAAAAATAAAACCATGTAAACAAACACTCTCTCCCTACTACAGTCAGAGCTCTGACATAAACAAGTCAGAATAAAATGACTTCCATAGGTCAGATATAATTTGATGTAAGTGTTGTCTCCCTTCTTGCACTCAACAGAATATGACTTGTACAGGTCAGTTTATGTCAGACTTTAATTTATCATAAAATGACTTCCACAGGTCAGATTTTGCACAAAATATTGTGACTTAATATCTTCATATTCTAATAAGATTTATGCCCCTTTTTAATGCATTTTGACTTCGAGAGGTCATTTTTGTTCTGATTTGAAGCAGTCATTACTACCACTTTGTTATCAATCTCCATAAAAATATGGTGATTACTAGTTTCGAATTAAAGAGTTTTAAAAAGTGGGGCTCATCTGACATCATACCTTCTCCTTTCCAGAATCTAAACATAATATATTTATCTCATCACTTTCAATTATTTCAAAATACAAAGAAAAACCAGGTGAGAAAAAATGCCAGATAAAAAACATTTAGTGCAAACTGACTCAAACAAGTCACATTATGTTCTGACTTACTAAATGTATTACAACTTTTAAGTCTAGTATTGTCATATTGATTTAAAAATGTATAGGTAAGCCAGATAAAAGACTGAGGAAATTAGGTCCCCATAAGTCACCATAATGAGGACTATAAAAAAGTTTATTTGGTATATTCAATATTAAATGTATATTCAATATTAAATGTATTTTCTGACTTAAAAGAGTCAGTCCAAAACTAAAATAAATTTATTGAAATATTTAAGCCGGGCATTGCCATATGATATTAAATGAATGTATGGGAACGTCAGATAAAAGACACAGGAAATATATGTTAAGATCCCCTAAAATAAATAACCATTTGACTTAATTGTTTCTAAAAATTTATCAAATAATAAACTCGAAAATGGCAGATTCAGAAGCAGTCTGAAAGCAAGGACTTTCTTGGATTAAAGGAAGTACACCTAGCTTTGATTGGAAATTTTGTTCTGTAAACTGACTTTAACAGGTCAAATCATGTTCTGACCTCAAAGAGTCATTCAAAACTAAACTTATTACAACTTTTAAGTCTAGTATTGTCATATTGATTTAAAAATGTATGGGAGAGCCAGATAAAAAACAGAGGAAATAAGGTCCCCTAAAGTCACAATAATGAGGATTATATAAAAAAGTTTATTTGGTGTATTCAATATTTAAATGTATTTTGTTTTAAACAGGTCAAATTATGTTCTGACTTCAAAGAGTCAGTCAAAAACTATACTTTAACTAATTATTGCAACTTCTAAGTCTGGCATTGTCATATGCATTTAATAATGTATGGGAAAAACAGATAAAAGACACCCAATAATAAAGTCACAATAATGAGGGGGGGGCTTAGAGGAAGAAGACCTAGTTTTGATTGGAAATTTTGTTCTGTAAACTGACTTTAACAGGTCAAATCATGTTCTGACTTCAAAGAGTCAAACAAAACTAAACTTATTTCAACTTTTAAGTCTAGGTTTTTCATATTGATTTTAAAATGTATGGGAAAGCCAGATAAAAGCCAGATGAAATAAGGTCCCCTTACGTCACAATAATGAGGACTATAAAAAAGTTTATTTGGTATATTCAATATCAAATGCATTTTGTTTTTAAAGATTTTCATCAAATTATCTTAAAATTTTATTTTATTTCTGTATTTTCATGACTTTTCTTTTCTGTTAAGTTTACACATAGAACTTGTGGTTGCCAAAAAAATAAAATTTTAATAACCATTTGGCTGAATTGTTTCTAAAAAAACTTATCAATTAATTAACTCAACAGTTGCAGATTCATATTTAGGGGGGGGGGCTTAGAGGAAGAACACCTAGCTTTGATTGGAAATTTTGTTCTGTAAACTGACTTTAACAGGTCAAATCATGTTCTGCTTTCAAAGAGTCAGTCAAAACTAAACTTATTAATACAACTTTTAAGTCTAGTATTGTCGTATTGATTTAAAAATGTATGGGAAAGCCAGATAAAAGACAGAGGAAATAAGGTCCCCTAAAGTCACAATAATGAGGACTATAAAAAAGTTTATTTGGTATATTCAATATTAAATGTATTTTGTTTTAAACAGGTCAAATCATGTTCTGACTTAAAACAGTCAGTCCAAAACTAAGTTTATTGAAATTTTAAAGTTGGACACTTCCATATGATATTAATGAATGTATGAGAACGTCAGATAAAAGACATAGGAAATATATGTAAGATCCCCTAAAATAAATAACTATTTGACTTAATTGTTTCTAAAAAAACTTATCAATTAATTAACTCAACAGTTGCAGATTCATATTTAGGGGGGGGGGGGGGGGGGGCTTAGAGGAAGAACACCTAGCTTTGATTGGAAATTTTGTTCTGTAAACTGACTTTAACTGGTCAAATCATGTTCTGCTTTCAAAGAGTCAGTCAAAACTAAACTTATTAATACAACTTTTAAGTCTAGTATTGTCGTATTGATTTAAAAATGTATGGGAAAGCCAGATAAAAGACAGAGGAAATAAGGTCCCCTAAAGTCACAATAATGAGGACTATAAAAAAGTTTATTTGGTATATTCAATATTAAATGTATTTTGTTTTAAACAGGTCAAATCATGTTCTGACTTAAAACAGTCAGTCCAAAACTAAGTTTATTGAAATTTTAAAGTTGGACACTTCCATATGATATTAATGAATGTATGAGAACGTCAGATAAAAGACATAGGAAATATATGTAAGATCCCCTAAAATAAATAACTATTTGACTTAATTGTTTCTAAAAATTTATCAAATAATAAACTCAAAAATGGCAGATTCAGAAGCAGGGCTTAAAGGAAGTACACCTAGCTTTAATTGGAAATTTTGTTCTGCAAACTGACTTGAACAGGTCAAATTATGTTCTGACAAATTGACTTAAACAGGTCAAATCATGTTCTGACTTAAAAATATCAGTCAAAAACTAAATTTATTAAAATTTTTAAGTCAGGCATTGCCATATGATATTAATGATATGTATGGAAAAGTCAGATAAAATACACACGAAATACATGCAAGATCCTCTAAGATAAATAACCATTTGACTTAATTGTTTCTTAAAACTTATCAATTAATAAACTCAACAGTGGCAGATTCAGAAGGGGACTAAGAGGAAGAACACATAGCTTTGATTGGAAATTGTGTTCTGTAAACTGACTCAAGCAGGTCAAATCATGTTCTGACTTATAAGAGTCTGTCAAACACTAAATGGATTGCAACTGTAACAGTCGGGCATTGTCATGATTGTGATGTGATTGTTAGAATGTATGGATACAAGTAGGAAAAAAGATCACAAATATTAAGTCACAATTTTTAGAACTATATAAAAGTTAATTTGGTATATATTTGATATCTTAATATTTCATTGAGGTAAATCCTGTTGTGCAAACTGACTTGAACAAGTCACATTATGTTCTGACTTCAAAGAGTCAGTCAAAAACTATACTTTTACTAATTATTGCAACTTTTAAGTCTGGAATTGTCATATGCATTTAAGAATGTATGGGAAAATCAGATAAAAGACACCCAATAATAAAGTCACAATAATGAGGACTATAAAAAAGTTTATTTGGTATATTTAATATTCAAATGTATTTTGTTAACAAATTTCATCAAATTATCTTAAAATTTTATTCTATTTCTGCATTTTTATGACTTTTTTTTCTGTTAAGTTAATATTATTTTAAAACCATTTGACTGAATTGTTTCTAAACAAACTTATCAATTAATTAACTCAACAGTAGCAGATTCAGATTAGGGGGGGGGGGGGGTTAGAGGAAAAGACCAGTTTTGATTGGAAATTTTGTTCTGTAAACTGACTTTAACAGGTCAAATCATGTTCTGACTTCAAAGAGTCAAACAAAACTTAACTTATTACAACTTTTAAGTCTAGTATTGTCATATTGATTTAAAAATATATAGGTGAGCCAGATAAAAGACAGAGGAAATAAGGTAGCCATAAGGCACAATAATGAGGACTATAAAAAAGTTTACTTGGTATATTCAATATTAAATGTATTTTGTTTTAAACAGGTCAAATCATGTTCTGACTTAAAAGAGTCAGTCCAAAACTAAAATATATTTATTGAAATATATAAGCTGGGCATTGCCATATGTTATTTAATGAATGTATGGGAACGTCAGATAAAAGACACAGGAAATATATGTAAGATCCCCTAAAATAAATAACCATTTGACTTAATTGTTTCTAAAAACTTATCAAATAATAAACTCGAAAATGGCAGATTCAGAAGCAGGGCTTAAAGAAAGTACACCTAGCTTTGATTGGAAATTTTGTTCTGTAAACTGACTTTAAGAGGTCAAATCATGTTCTGATTTCAAAGAGTCAAACAAAACTAAACTTATTACAACTTTTAAGTATAGTATTGTCATATTGATTTAAAAATGTATGGGTGAGCCAGATAAAAGACAGAGAGAATAAAGTCCCCATAAGTCACAATAATGAGGACAATAAAAAAGTTTATTTGGTATATTCAATATTAAATGTATTTTGTTTTAAACAGGTCAAATCATGTTCTGACTTAAAAGAGTCAGTCCAAAACTAAAATAAATTTATTGAAATATTTAAGCCGGGCATTGCAGGGCTTAAAGGAAGTACACCTAGCTTTGATTGGAAATTTTGTTCTACAAATTGACTTAAACAGGTCAAGTCATGTTCTGACTTTAAAAAATCAGTCAAAAACAAAATTTATTGAAATTATTAAGTCAGGCATTGCCATTTGATATTAATGATAATGTATGGAAAAATCAATTAATAAACTCAACAGTGGCAGATTCAGAAGGGGGCTAAGAGGAAGAACACATAGCTTTGATTGAAAGTTTGTTCTGCAAATTGACTCAAACAGGTCAAATTATGTTCTGACTTTAAAGAGTCCATCAAAAACTAAATGGATATGCATAAAATCTGGTTCATA